AAAGTTTATCGCGATTGAATGAATCGTTAACCGTATTGACCATTTTATACTAAATTATATTTTACTTATTGTTTGATGTTCTTGGGAATACATTTCTTTTGAGATTGTGATTTAGATTTTTAATAAATAATTTAGTTCAAATATGTTTGAAATATTTAAATTTAAATCGTTTATTAATTATTCTTTTTTTTTATATTTGTAACTATTTAAGTTGTTATGATAACGAGTCAACGAGAACAATTTTTTATGAGTGATCTAATGTAAAAATTAGTTTGTTGGGGGTGTGGGGGCAATGCCCCCACGGGTCTGTTTGTCATCAAATATTTGACCCCCCTTTAATATTTCACAAGATCTCCGCCTATGATTACATTCTACACAGGTCAAACAAATCCGCGTCTCACCATATCCTCCATCACTATCTATATTTTTTTACCTAACAGCCAAATGAATGAACTGGCTTGGCACATTGTACACAACGATGGGCTCCTGTAGGAAAATTAACATTATTACACACTAAACATGGATGTAGGATACCTGATACTTCTTCATTGATTTGTTGACTTTCATTTAACTTTCATCTAAATTGTTGGTAACTGTATAATTACAAATGAATGTATTTGAATTTTTATCAAGTGTCACTGCATCTATGTGAATACTGAATTTTATCAATTTTTTCGTTCTCAGCATCAGAATTTTCACTATGAGTTTTGCTGTTGTTAAATTTATTTACATTTTTTAAAAATACAATTTGTTTTTCTGATACTTTTTTGCTGACATCGAGGTGCTCAAATCCTGCTTGCGGATTAAGGTAAGATTTTGTTGATAGACTATTTTTAAATGTTGTCGACATCTCTTTCTTTTGCCATTGTTCTTCAGCATTTGTTTCTGTATTACATTCTAAAAATGTTTTTATATATATTTTATCAACTTTTTTATTTTCAGCATTTTCATTCTGATTTTTCCTATCAGAATCGCTTGATTGATTTGATGGAATTGTGTTAGTGCCATATATTTTTTTAAGCGGAATATTATTTTATATCAGCAAGTGATCGCCTTTATAATAAGAAATAATCTTGTCTAAAAATGTATCAATTCTTAATGGTAAATTATCACATTTAAAAACTCTTATTTTTAAGTTGATTGAAATTACTTTCTATCCGGGCACTGGAAACTAAAGCTTCTCCAAAACCAAATGTTTTTCTCATGATAACTGACCAACAAGGATATAGCTTCATGGCCTTAATTATAAGAGGCACAATCTGGAGTATATTGTGCATTGTCAATATCACCTTCATATGTTTGAACTTCCATTTTACATTGCTCAGTCATTGATGATGCCCAAATCTCAAATGAACCAAAAAATCTTCACGTAAGTCTTAAGATCATGATCTTCGGAAAGTTCTTTGGCTGTACTATTTTCATCAATAAAAGTATCATACTCCTGCAGGTATGCCATTTTATTGGAAATCAAGGATTTCAGATATTTTTTACTTGAGGCACATATAGTATCTTCTGTTAATTGTTTATTTGATATTAAAACATGACCATCGTGTTGACTCAAAGCTACATTAAAAATAGCTCTGAGTATTTTATTGTCTTCTTTAATTGAATTACAGTTTATTAATAGTGCCATTAATCTAACAAACAGTAATTTTGTTCGAGCAAACTTAATATTTTTCAAAGGAGTCCATTTGGTTATCAAATGAATAAAATGGTTTACATCATTTCTAATATAGCATCTGGATACAGAGCCAGTTCTATCATTTGGATCAAAAATTAATTTGTAACATGATTCTAAGTATGCCTGTAGTGACTCGTATTGTGTGAATGCTTGAACGATGGCTGATATTAGAGCTAATGATTGATCACATACAATCATTTTTGGTGGTTTAATGCCACATCTAAGCCAACGATCCAACCAAGAGTATATGGATAATGTATCATGTTGTTCTGAAATCATTGATAGTGCAGTAAATGTTTTACCTTCTATTTCCATAACACCTTCATACAAAAACAGATGACTACTTTTATCGCCATTCGACCTCTTAATTTTCTTACAAGATCCACTTGTTGCATCAAACGACATAGTTGGTATTTTGACTCTAGAGTAGCATTCTTTGTATATCTGTAATTATAGATTGCTCCAAAAATGAACAAAAAACCCATCGTATCCAACATTTCGAATAATTGAGCAATAAGTTTCACAATGTTTCAGTTGAGTTCGTACAGTCGTACCGTAAGGTTGGGCTAATCTCTCCGTTACTGTCTTATTCTGTTGTAATTATTCGTAACTATTCTTTATGACTTCCAATAGTGTTAAATGTTATATTTGTAATCTTGGTTTTGCTGAACTCGATCTTCCTATTAAGTGTGATGGCTGTAACTTTGTAACACACAACAAGTGCTCGGGTCTTAATATTAGTGAAATTAAATGTCTTGGTTTTAAGAATCGAAATTTGAAATTATTTTGCGAAGCATGCAATAACGGTTTGCATCATATAAATTATTAATTAATCGTTTATTAGCTGAAGTTAATGAGCTAAAGAGCCAGAAGAATGATAACAATGTTCAAAATCATTCTGAGGAGTTCATAATTGGTGAAGTCGGCGAACGCAATATCAGAGCATCTAATTTAATATTTTATAACATTCCAGAGTCCAACTTAGATAATGCAGTCGACCGAGTTAATCATGACTCTACGCTTGTGAGTAATTTAATTGATTCAATTATTGCTGATGAGAATATTGGACCGTCTAAAATTATTCGTCTTGGTATTCTTGGTAAAAATAATCCCCGTCCAATTAAGGCTGTATTTAGCACACCAGCAGATGTGTTTGAAATATTTAAGTCAAAAAAGACGTTGTTATCATTACAACCACCTTCCACTATTGGTGTCAGTTCGGATCGCACTCTTTAGCAGAGGAACTATATGAAGAAACTTCGGGATGAACTAGAGTCTCGCAGAACAAATGGTAAAATTGATCTAATCATTAAATACATAAGAGGAACTCCAACCATCGTTACCAAAGATAATCGTTCTAATGCCCGTGCTGGAAATTTTTTATAATTAATATTTTCTGCCGAAATGTCCATGGTATTTTAACTTAGATCCCTTTTTTGCAACTGAATGCATTGTTGAATGTTAATTATAATATAATTTGTTCAACTGAAACTTGGCTAAATGATAATGTTCTTGACTCTTAACTTGGTTTCACTAATTATAATTTATATCGTAATGATCGTCATAATTTGTCTTATGGAAAAAAACGAGATGGTGGTGTTCTAATTGCAGTAAATAAAATAGTAAGTTGTGACGTATTAAATGTCTCTAGTGTTTTCGGTATTGAGCAAGTTTTTTGAAACTTATTTTGAATAATTTTAAAATAATTTTTGGTTGTATAATTGTATGACAGTTCTTGTGAAGTATATTCTAAACACTATGAGGTAATTGAGTCTATATATCTTATGTACCCCGATTACAATCATGTTATAAATGGTGATTATAATTTAAATCAGTTTGACTGGTCTATTGATCCAATCACTCAAGATCATGATACGGGTTCTCTAATTTTTAACTGTTATTCAAACTACTTAAGTTTGAAACAAATAAACCATGTACTTAACTGTAGTGGTCGTACTCTTGATTGCATAATGATTAGTGCTGGTGCTGAACTTACTAATATTTTACATTCGTTAGAATCTCTTGTTCCTATAATTGATAATTATCATCCACCATTAGATTTTATAATACAATTTAATAATGCATTGGTTAATGAACATATTGAATCTCCGCTCGTTTATAATTTTTAAAACTGTAATTTTGATGATATTTTTCATTTTCTACGGAGTATTGATTTTGATCTTAATCTGAATAATAATTTATCTTTTGAATCGCTTATCGAAAAATTGTATGGAATTATTTATCACTCTTTTACTTTATTTGTGCCCAAAACTAAAATATATAACAAATATTCAGTTATATGGGCTAACTCTGAACTTAGAGATTGTATAATTTAAAAAAAATGTGCACACAAAAAATTTAAGTCATTACTTATTTCCTTCGGAAGCTAATTAAAATGACTTCTCTAATCTTAGATAAAAATGTAAACACTTGATTACTATATGCCATGGTCAATATATTTCCAATATCGAAAATAGTAAGTAGTATATATTTGTATGTTCACAGTTCGTTTTTCCAATTTTTTTGTTCAAGCGGGAATGTTCCCCTCGGACGACTCAGAATTACCGTATCACACAATACGGTAAATTCACACTCAGTGTCCACCTATTTATCACTCACACGAAAATATTTACCGTGTACACAAAACTAAATTTTTTTATCCACGTTGGTTACACTGTTTTTTCAAATTTGATAAGCAACGAAATAATTTGTTTTTTTATATCTGAATTTTTTTTAAGTTACTCGTTTTTTTTATTATTCAGTAATAAATGATTCGTTGTTTGGTGAAGTTGTGTTTTCTCAAGTTACTTAATCAATTTATAAAAAATGAATTTACAAAAATATATCAACGATTTTCAATCATTAGTTTACCGTGTACGAAGTAATTCGACTCTAGCGTATCCAGAATTTTCTTCTCTCCATTCACGTTTAAAAACTTACAAAAAATTTCCTGAAAATTCTTTTCAAAATAAATACGATCTTTCTGAGTGCGGATTAAAATATTCTGGTATTGATGATGTCGTTGAATGCTTCTGCTGCGGACTTATTCTCCATAATTGGGAGAAGCTGGACAATCCATGGATCGAACATTGCAGATACAACCCAAACTGTATTTATGTATTATTAATGCGAGGAAATCAGTTTGTTCAAAAAATACTAGCTAAATATTGTAAAACTGAACATAATATGTGTACTTGTGAAAATATGTCATACGATACAGTTTGTTAAATTATGTATATGTCATACTTAGTAATAAAAAAAATATTGATTTGTAAACGACTTATATGTGTTAATATTTGATTCAATATCTCGTGAACGCATGGCTTAGCGGATTAACGCGTGTAGTTTAATTTAAAATAATTTCAGGTAAGTAAGTATATATAATTCTCTCCCCCCTCCTGCATTCGATAATCGGCTATGTCATGCGTTCACACTTTTTGCATTTTTTTTTCTATAAAAATCTTAAATAAATCTGCAAGGTTTAGTATATAATATGCTTACAGAAGAAAAAACTGTTAGTTCAAATTATATCCTCTGTCAGACATATTATACCTTATTTTTTTCATTTATTTAAAAAAAACAATATTCGTCATGGCTCCAGCAATAATTGTGTCGAAATCAACTTTTGACATCCGTCCATTTGGTAAGAAGAGTGTGACAGTTGGTTTACTAATTAGTAAACAAATTTCGATTATTGTATCATTTGAATGCAAGTTAACGAAAAAGATAATTACACTAAATTTACAGCAATGGTTTACCCTTATGTCCGAATCAAACTTTGTTTCTATTACTAATAATTTAAATACCAGATGTAAACGTGTGAAAATAACTGATGATTTAACATACTCAATTAATGCGAAGCAAAGTTCAATTACATTGAATATAAATGATGAATATATTACATTATCACATATAGATTTCTGTAGATTAAAACAATTACAACACTGCATTGACCTGTATATAGCAGAAAAACAGAAACGACTACAGAGTTTTCAAGCAACATTTGATACTGCTTACGAACTGATCAAAAATGATGTACGTGGTCTGCCAATCAGCTGCCAGAGGAACGAATTCACAAACCAGTATATTCAAAACTATGATTTCAATTATTATTCCCATTTACAAAACGATGACACATCATTTTTGTATGAAATATTACAATACCATTTCAATACAATGTCAGAGCTTATATTACAGGATTTATTAATATGAATACAAATGTATATATATTTATATATTGTTTATTGTTTAATTAAAGTTTTTTTTATATATATATAACAATCAAACTGCTATTTTGCTTTTTATTGTCCGTCGATCTGGATCCTGCAGCATTGTATCGAATACAGCCTGCATAGTCTGATTCAGACTGCTATTCAACGACTAGTCTTTCGATTTATCGCTCGTAAATATCTTTACGGATGCTTCCGAATGACGCCATCTATAAACATCCCATATAGCAAAAGTAATACATTAATATACAATTGATATTCAGTCTAAATACATTTTTGTATATTTGTAAGTTGATATACATAAAATGTTTTGACGATAACTCAAAATTGATATATGTGATTCTATATTCTTATGATAACTTCACTACATCAAAATTTTGATATTAAGAAAATGATTTGTGCGGAATGTTTATAAGATATTTTCAGCATGATATTTGACATATATATAATAATTAATGTTTATTTGATATTTAAAAATATTTATCTTAAATAACATATTTACTGTATATTTTTATAATATCAGAAATAATACATTGAAAATCTGATTTGTTAAAAATATTCAGTGGATATTTTGTTGATGATATAAACAGGATATGTTATTACTTATATTTATTTGATATCTATACATGGGTATCATAAATAACATATTCATAATATATCTTTTTAATATCAGAAATAATATATTGAAAATCTGATTTGTAAACAACATTCATTGGATAGTTTGTTGATGATATATACAGGATATGTTATTACTTATATTTATTTGATATCTATACATGGGTATCATAAATAACATATTCATAATATATTTTTTTAATATCAGAAATAATAATGTGCAGTATTATTTTGGCCGGTATATATCACCAAAACATGTTGTATAACAACATGCATGTATAACAGTATATGAAATAATTATTTACTATTTCTATTTTTATTTTACAAAATATCACATACACACATTTTTATAATACACTAATGTCTAATACATTGTAATACGCGGAATGACACTCGTTCGCCATGTGTGATTATAGATAAGACTACAGAAAGGAAAACTTAAATTATTATTATACAATAAAGGCCAATAAGCTTATTATTTATAACCGCGGTTGCCATAATGACGATGCGCGACGCCGCGATAAGGATAATAATACGGATTTCCCCATACCCGCGCATATGTATAAATATGTAATATTGGGTACTTATAAATGTATAAACGCAGCAATATACGAGTTTGGTTTTGAGTGTCGTGCGCCGTCGAATTGTGTTCTTTCGGTGTATATAATGAAATTGTGGGTATTGCCGTATTGGCCATTGGGTTTATTTTTTTTCAACGTTGTCTATGTGTAGTGCACCGAACGTACGTGTGACTGTGACTATTTAGGTAAGTATATTATGATATTATTATTGTAGGTAGTGTTCTATACGTCTTAATAGTTGATACTTCTACTACTATTGCACCTATATCTACTTATAATATAATATATTGTTAAATATATTCACAATAACATTACCGTATAACTTACTATATAAGCTAAATATGTTGAGGTCAAATCATTTGAGTAAATCTACCAAGCGACGGAGGTTATTAGAAGAAATTAATTTCATTAAACATCTGACTGATAGTTCGAATAATATTTTGCCCGATACAAATGATTCAGTTGAATTAGAAAACCCATCCCCATTAAATGTTGGTAATAATATTCCTTTGGAGTTAGCAAGTAATGATTTGCCTATTGAGGTTGAACATTATACTAATGAAATATTATGTAATACCACTGTTAACAAAATATCTGATCAGATCAAACTAACCACTATTTCAAACACCTCAAACCTAAATTTGAATGTTGCAAGTGTTGATGATAACAACGATGCTGCCATGATAAAACAACCATTTACTACTAAATTAATTCAATGGGCTACTGAAAACAATGTACCAAATAACACTTTTGATAGTTTATTAAAAGTATTGAATACTCATAAATGTTTTAACAATATCCCAATTTCTAGTAAAACTTTTTATAAAAATCATTCAGGTGTATCTTATAATAAACCTGTTAAAACTAAAATAGTTTCACCAGGTATATACTACCATTTTGGTTTGGAATATAGTATTAAAAGGTACATTGATAAAGATTTTTCAAGTGAAACAATTAAATTAGTGATTGGAATTGATGGATTGCCTTTGATGAAAAGCTCAGGAAGTACATTTTGGCCAATACTAGGTTACATTANGTAGTGGTGTTCCCACATATATACACTGTGTGCATTATATACAACTATGATAAGCTATGACCGCAACTAAGATATTACCTAAATTGGTGTGACCGCAACTGTTATATCTGTTTATCTCAAAAATCGTCATGACCGCAACCAGTATGCAGCCAAAAATATGCCGGTGCCGGCGAACTGAGCGAACTGACCGGCCGGCGAAAAACGTCACTATCTGTTTACCATTATCTAACTCTATATAAAAAAAAACCGGACGGCAGAATCCGGCCGGCAAAATCCGGTCGTCTGTTTGGGCCCTTAAAGGTCAATATTTAATGAGGCGTGTATGTTTTCCTAATTTACGGTGTCCTATAAGAACTCATGAAGATTTCATTAGTAAAAGTCAACGTCAATATCACAGTGATGATGTCACTAAAATTATTAGCATTCCAAATATTGATGTTGTACATAACTTTTCCTTAGATTACATGCATGTAGGTAGTATGCTTAGGTGTTGTTAAAAAAATATTGATGTTGTGGAAGGGGAGTTTTACTGTTGGAAGAAGATATGTTAACAATCAAAAATTGAATAATCTTATAATTAAAAATATATCAGATAGACTTTTATCATTTAAAACATGTATACCATGCGGTTTTGTTCGTAAACCTAGATCCTTAGATGAATTAGCACGCTGGAAAGCTACAGAGTACAGATTATATTTTTATATGTAGGAATCGTTTCAATTTACTCAATTGTGCCCAAAAAATTATATCAACATTTTTTATCTTTAAGCATAGCTATGACTATTTATTTGAGCCCAAACTTCAGAGATTTAGCTGACTTCGCTAAATCTTTAATGTTTAAGTTTGTCAAAGACTTTGGTTGCCTGTATGGAAATCACTTAATTTCTCATAATGTGCATGCATTAATCCATTTATTTGATGATTATAACAATTTTGGCTCATTAGATAGTGTTAGTTGTTTTAAATTTGAAAATTACATGGATCACTTAAAAAAACTTGTTCGTAAAAGTGATAAACCTCTTCAACAAGTTGTAAAAAGATTTGAAGAACGTTCTAGTCTTATTAATAGTCCCACAGAGAAACTGAATAATCAAAAAAATGAAACTTTGTTGAAGAAATATGTTAAAGAACACAATGAAGGTCCATTAATAAATGACACTACATCTCCTCATTTAAAATTTTAATTTTAGATAAAATAAAAATAAAAACTCATATCAATGCTGACTCATATATTGGCTTAACCCTTTGACGAGTAAATTATTTTTCATAGTAGTACACCCAGAGAGTGAATTGTTTTTACCAAAAAACCACACTTTTCGTCATAGTAATGACAGAAATTTACGTCGCATTTATTGTACGTAAAATAGTAAAGACGGATAAATACGTCTTAATAATTTTCACCATAAGAGTGTAGACGGAAATAGACGTCTTGAGAAAAAGTATAACTCAAAGAGGAATGACGTAAATTTCCGTCTAGTATAGATCTAATATAATACAATTTTAAATAATTAAGAAATATATTAATTACCTGTACAATTTAGAAATAAAACACTATTTAAAACGTATTCAATAATATAAAGTAGGTATTAAGAACCTATAAAATATAAGTAGCCTTTGCATCATATAATACTATATATAGTTACCTATCTATGTTATTACCTAATTAATAATTATACTACAGAGAACAATTTTTAAAACTTGGTATTTTATATATATTTTCCCGGCAATAAAAATATAAACTGTTAGCTTAAAATGTATTTAAAATCAA